TCTTGCGTTTTTAGAATCTGTTTTGAGTCCTTTGAGTCTATTCAAACGTTTTTAACTTTGTTTTTATGTTTTTGAGTTAGTTTAGGGGTTTTAGCAAGCCCTACTAATCCCCGGTTTAGAACGACCCCTATTTGCATTTTTACTACAATTTGACAACAAGAGGGTTTAATTTGAGTGCTTAACTTTCATCGCATCACAGGACATGTATTTAGTCGCGTTGTATATACAGACAAAATATGTGTGAACTGCATGTTGCTTTAGTTTCTTATGTTAAAACAATGTTGTTTTTTTTTGGTTACATATTTGGTTAAGCCAAACTTCTAATTCTACCATTTTTACTGTGGATGGGTTGTTGATGTAAACTAAATTCAATCTAAATGCAAGCTAAATACTTATTCTACCATAACAATTTACTTTTGTATTTGGTTTTCATTTTATGTTCAATCATCTATGTTAGTTTATACTTTTTTGAGATTGGCTAAGTGGGATGTGTGTTTTGTAGATTAATGTAATTGAAAATGCAATTATTTGCTTCTGCCTTTAGGTGGTTTGATATAGAATTTGTGGGTCTTTCGATCGTGGTGATTCATAATTACACATACTTGTTGGAATTAAACTTGCAGTCTGTACTCTATGCATCGTCAAATCTTGTTATAAGGATGCTACTGTTTGATGTGGTAGAAACTAACACACAAATTAAATCCCGTAAATTATGTCATCGTAGTACGAGTAAGTAGGGATCATTCTATTCCAAGGATTAGAAGGTAATCAACACAAAATAAACTTATAAAACTAAAAACTAAGTTAAACTAACAACAAAATAGTGACTGCGGGGATTTTGAACGAATTTTAGTAAAACAAAAGTAAATGGCTGCAAGAAAATTAAGTTGTGAATGAAATACGAATGAAATGATAGCTAAATGATTCTTCTCCACACATGAAACATATGCATACAAATCGATTTCTAGTTATTCTTCCTATAAACCATGAATGACAATGCCTCAAATTAATAGTGAACAACACTAATTAACTTTTAGATTTTCCTAAGTTCATTGAATTGGACTCAGGGATGCAACCAAATTATTCTTCTCAAGTTCCCTAACTATGAAAAGCATGATAAAGATACATATTGAAGATCATTAAGTTATGTGAAAATCATAAGTATTGATGAAATATTCGTAACTATGAAAAGCATGATACTCCTACCAATGATTTAATTAACTCAATCATGACTAGTGACTTTTACTACTTGAAAATATAAGTCACTACAATTAGGTGAAATTCCCTAATATTCTAGCATCAAATCCCTGTATACAAACTAAGCGGGCCCTCTTAATAAACATAGAAGAATAAGTTCTCTATAAAGCAGATAAGTAAATCACATTCATGTTTTATGAAACAATAGCTGGATGTGAATTTATATAAAACATATGATCATGGCTTTGAATTCACTTCTAGCTAAAAAGAAACGTAGTTACACATGTTCATCATAACGGAAAAGAAATCTAAAATAAACATTGAAACTTAAAACAAAGATAGAAAGAACTCTAAAAATTCCAGCAACTTCAATGGATGAATGGTAGGCGTGACACACTTCTTTCCAACATTGCAGGACATTATATATATATATATATATGGCACAACTAGATCCAAGGAGGAAGGGGATTATGCGTTTTGAATTATTTTAGGACTTTAAGAAACAGTTGGAGAGTGTTGGGATGTGATTAGCAATTTTTTTTGCAGCTGGAGATAAGATAAGATATGATAAGATAATGTTTCGCTCCAACTGGGATTCCTCCTCCTTGTGCAATTCCTTGTCTTCCAAGGCTCAACTTTGATTTCTCCATATTTTAGCACATGTTTAACACCTTTTAAACACTAGAAACTTCAAGCCCATATGCTATACACGCATGCTATCCAATCCAAGTCCAAAACTATTTCTAATTGCTCCATTTGATCTCTAATTGTCAACTTTACCAACTAGACCAACAATAAAACAAAAATATCTTAAATTACTATAATAAATGAAAATTAACTAAGTAAATGCAAAGAAATAAGATAACAAAGTCGCATAAATACTCCTATCACCAATCCAATATGATTCGTCAAGACATGCTATCAACAACAATTTGTGTCTTTTTCTGTTAAAATGATTCATGCCAGTCTGAGTTACAGTTTCAATACCCCCAACTATGCGCGGGAAATTTTCTAGTTAGTACTATTATCAGTGTGTGACTTAACTTTTACTTTTAACAAACGATAGTATTTACACGAAAGGGGTGGGAGAGGGGGCTAAGCCTCACAATGGGCGAGCAATAATGTGGTTCAAATTCTGTTTTGGCGAGAATCGAACCTAAGATCTCTCATTTTCAAATAAAGAAGAATATCACTAAACCGTATTACTAATTGGCTAGTGTGTGACTTATTAGATTCTAACTAAATTGGTTGTGCGACTACTTAACAAAGTAATGTAACATGCTAATCGTTTCAAATGCTATACCAATATCGGGAATGGTACGTATATAACATGACGACAAACATGAGACTTTCCTCAAACTTTTGCCATCTCAATTTTCTCAGTTTGCTTCTTAGGAGTTAGGTAGGACCCATGTCCTTGGTGATTCTATGTCGAAAATGAAGAAAGTCTCTTTTATTCTTGCATGCTAAACCGTTTTAGCATATTTTGTACGTAATTAGGTTGAGATTGACCGATCGTTCTATTCTATTTCAATGCAATTTAATCCTAATGGCATCTCCAATTTGGGATGCAAATATAAAGCTACATTTACCATTGAACCAATCGGAAAGTGGAAGGAGCTCCAATGCAGACGTTTCAAAACATGTAAAACCAACTAGTGTTTAAAATATCGATATCGGTGGAAATATGGATATGCAAATTTGTGGAAATGTTGATGGATCTATCGAATATCAGTTGCTTTCGATGTAAATGATGAAAATTTAAAATGAAACTTGAGGGATTGTAAAACATTGATTTGGACGAAATATAAGAGTTTTCCTTATATTTATCAGATGTGTTAGAAATATCGACGATACCTATCAATTTTAGCCTAAAGTTAAAAGTTTCTCCGATATGAGTTGAAGTCTATCTTTCTTTGATTTTTTAGATATTTCCATTGAAATATGACGGTATTGAAGAAATTTCATACACTGAAACCAACCAACATCCAGCCGAAAAATGCCGAAAATGAGATAGAACAATCATTCTATTGGGACTATACTTCCTTTTGTTTTTTCATTAGAAGCTGCTTATCTTACACTAAACAGCCACCAGATGATGGCCTACATCTCTTAATTCAAATTGATATCTCGATGTTAACATTCTATACATTGGAGCAAAACTAGTATTTACATTTCCCGATATGTAAAAGAAGATGCTCGTATCTCATGGAGAACATGTTCGATAACCAAACTTTACGTTCTTAAGCATAGTTTTGTCATTCCGTATGAGTAATATATCTTCTACATTGAATTCTCAATTAGTTTCTTATAAACGCGGTTCATTTAGATGTTCGAAATCACATCCCTGTACGATTACACCAAATCTCATGTTACAACTTCAAAATAGTTGTTCGCGACCATAACTAAAGCGTTGTAGTTTATATCTTTGGTGCACTAGATAAATGTTGAAAGTTTTAGCTCCGAGCATAGTCCAGGTTTAATCGCAAGTCAAAGTTTCTTGACACAAAGTTAGTCCTTCATCAGGGAAGAGGATCGTCTCTGAATCCTCTTTGTGAGGATCCTAAGGATCAATTCATCTTAGCTGTTTATCATACATCGTACAATTAGCTTTCGTTAGGTACTATTTGTGTTCAATTTTAAATAAAAATTTTAAAATGATTTCTAACTGTAGGATGACTGATGAATAGATAGGATGAACTGATCCCTAGGATCCGGGTAGGATCCTATTCCCTTCATCAGTCCTTTCGGACCAGAGCAAAGCATAATTTACACGGTAATTAAAAGTCTAAATTACCAACTCCAAGGGCTTCCAAGTATTTCCCATCAATGAGGTTAGTGCCAATTGAACACATCCTTTGGCTTTCTTGACATAGTTCTGCACCAAGAACACATTCACACACACGCATTCACACATTGATAATTTGATATTTGCCTAAACAAGATCAATTACCTTCCGACATCACCCGATTTGACTAAGCTGGAGTTAACCTGTGCTGGAAAATATTAGTATTTAGATTTATTATAATGTTTGGTATTTTGGGCCTAGTCTGTTGGTATTAGTGTTTTGTTTCTTTGTCTGTTAGGGTTAGGTTAGTTTTCTATACATATGATACTTTATAACTCTATAGAATAACAAGTCATTCACAATGTAGTCATTTTGAGTTATGTAGCCGTCCGGCAATCTTGTTTAATAAAATAATGTTCACAGTTATAGTTCATTTGTTCGTCCGTTTATTTTCAACTCCCCGCAGGCATGGAACGGATGCTGCAGTTTTTATCATCCTTGCCGGAAACCCGGACTCTGGTGGTGGCTCCATCGTCACACACAGCGCATTCAAGCTTCGTTTATGGGCGCTCAAGGTGTAGAATTGAAGGGTTGGATTGTGATGGAGCTTTGAACATGCAATTGCAGTTGTGGCTCTCTCTCGTCAGTACAACTACTGCAGTTACATGCTATATATAGCCTTATATACTAGTCAACCATATGTAATACTTTTCAATTTTGACTAAACAACACAAAATGTTACCAAGAAACAGTCATGCCGATAAAAACTTACTCGCAATTCATCACAACGATATCACGAAAAGACAACGGAAAACGTGCATTGGGAATATCTTTCATCGGATATCGCACCTTGTTTAAGTAACACAAGGAACTTGTAACTCAGTTGCTTTTGCACCGGAATCACTTAAGTTTTAATTCCAGTCGTTCGAATAAGCAGATCGCCTCCACTCAAATTTCAGACATCCAAAAGAATTTACCCTGAAATGTTCCTTAGTGATGACATATAGAGGCACCATAACAATTGAATTCAGCTTTATAAGTACATTATATAGAGATCAAGTTGCATCGCAGAGGACAAGATTGTTTCATGTAAAAGATTAGCGAAGCTTCAAAATTGTTTCATGTAAACTCTACTCTTTACACGATTTTTCTTCACAAAAAGAGTGCCAACACATGATCAAAAAAGGATAACTCAGAAGCAAAAAGCCCAGCTGAAAAACCAAAAACGAAAGTTAAAGACAGGCAGGGGAAAATTACCTACAGCCTTCACCCGTAGATCAGGTCCCTCCCACTCAAACCGCCACCATTTTTAAGATGGAAGTACACCACAACTAGAGTGAGTAACAAACCTAGACAAACTGTACAAAAATTCCTTGTGGGGTATTGCAGGAAATCAAACAAAATCTTGTGGCGCCAAATTCTTCTTAGCTGTATAGATTTACTTCTTTGAGTATGTGAGAAATGGATCTTGAGCAATCCCTAAAACATCTGGCCTCTCTGCTTGATTATATGTTAGACAACGCCGAATGAATTCCTGCCAATAGAAATATGCAGAATGGTATCACCGAGTTGCTCAGAATTCAGCTAACCATGTCCATCAGTGAATGGGAGTTATTTTTTGTATACGCACTTAACAAGGTTTTTTTTAAGTCAAATACTCTCAATGAGGTTTTTTCTTTTTTTAGTTCAAGTACTCTGCTGTCTAGGGTTATGGTCTTCTAAGATGGCAGTAAATTTAGCAATCAAAATAACTTAGGAAGAAAAAGTTTGAAGGATTGCTGAAAATGTTGCCATAGATGGAGATATTAAGGTACTAAGCCTGCAAGAACCCAAGCCTTTCAACATTAATATTTTTCTTTCATTAAAATCTCTTTGCTTTAAAATACTCGTAGTCTCACATATATACTATAGATTCCGAAAGATATATAAACACTCATTAAATACCACAAAACTCTCAAAATGATTAAAAATGTTGTCATTCTGAAACCCATATACATGAATAAAATAACTCTTGGATCGACCTTGTGAATTGTGTATTTTGCTCAACTATTTGACTCATACATTCTGAGAAGATGTTTGGTTCAGTGAGCAGCCCATGAAATCTTTGTTTCCCAGGTTAAATCTTTATATTGAAGCACAAGATGGATTATTTCTAAGAACCAACTATTTCCGCTAAAGAAAATTAAGCATGCTGTACCAACTGTGAGCACAACTCACCTTTGCCTCATTTGAGATGGAAGGTCGGGAAGGGAATTCAACTTTTCGAGCCTTAATAATTGTGTCTTCCCGTAGTATTCGTTCCTGGGTCTGATCATGGCCAAAAGGCCGTCTTCCAAATAACATTTGGTATAACAGAATACCTGCTGACCAAACATCAACCTGCTTTCCAAGAGGGACCGTGTCAAAAAACCTTGGAACCCAAGCTGAGAAGAATAAAGGGCAAAGAGAAACAGTTTGGTTTTCTGATAAGTTATTTTCCAAGTAAGAAGACTCAGGGGACACCAATCGTATCTGTAGTCTAGTACGCGACGGAATTTATGTCTAGACTAGGCTTGAACAATATTGATATAAAACAGAAAAGCTATCTATCTATCAGACAGACAGAGAGAGTGTGTGCAGTATAAATGCATTTGGCCACTTGGTTGCACATGTATGTCATGCTGCCACTAGGCAATACAAATATATTAAAGTCACCGACCTTTGAGGATATAAGAGGTGTCTTGCTGAGCTCGAAGCATTCAGGAGGTAAATACCTGCAAATAACAAAGAAATTATTACGTATTCTGCTACTTAAACCAAATGTACTAAAATGTCAAGGAGAAGAAGACAGAGGAGAGCCACGCGAAGACACACAACAAAGCTTAAAGTTACCATTTCTTCCCAATAAATATAATAATAAAGTGAAGATACTAATTTTCAAGTTCAAACATCATTTCAAATTCCCAGGGAAGCTGAACTTCTTTTCTTTAAAAGCAAATGTAAACCTGCAGATGTACTTAAGCTGAGTTGCATCACTTACCAATAAGTTCCAGCACCCTGGGATGTAAGTTCCATACCCTGGGATCCAACATCATCCTCCACTATCTTGCTAAGACCAAAGTCAGTAACTTTTGCAACCCCAAGCTCATCAAATAGAACATTTCCAGGCTTCAAATCATAATGTATAATCTTCTGTGTTCTTTTGTTCATGTATATAAGACCTTGAAATATCTGAAAGATAATGATCCTAGCTTCCCTCTCAGGTAACACAGGCGTTGCTTTAAGGACAGCATCAAGATCTTTCCCTGAGGGTAGAAAAGGAAATATCAATAAAACCAAAAGGGAGATGAAGAAAGAATGAGACAAGAATTCTCTACAAGACCCGACCACTAATATCTCCATCTTAGAATAAACAAAGATTATTCAAAGGACAGAACGTTGAGTATAAATACCACTGCAATACTCTAAGACAGTGCAGAATGTATTCTGATCAATCTCAAAAATGTCCCAAAGTCGAACAATGTGATGATGAACCAAAGTCTTGTGTATATTGTACTCCCGGATTGCATGCCGTATGTAACTCTGCTTCTTCTCTTCACTCCACTGAGCATTTAAACCATGAAGCTTACATGCAACATATCTATGCTCTACCAAGTCAAATGCCTGCTGGAAATTTCTCACTTCAAATCACTGCAAAAAGGTATTTCTTTACAATTGCCAACATTGGCAAATGAATTGTCTAGGCTTTTCATCCAATATATAAACATTTACCATAAACTAGTGGGAATAATTTTAGATATCAAAACCACAATTCTCAAAGTTCTGACCTTGTAAACTTCACTGAATCCCCCTTTGCCAAGAAGATTTAAGAGGGCATATCTGTGGTTGAGAATCTGAAAATTGTTAAAACGGGAACCATCCTCATCTCGTATGCGTTTCATCTCACGTATAAGCCTTCCCTTCTCCAGTTCATAACGGTCTCTTTCACGCAGGATAACTTCCTCCTCCTTCAGAAGTCCATAGACAAAAGACAAACAAATGAGAAAACCAGGACTTCCTTCCTAATGAAAATAAAAACAGAATGAAAAAATCCAAAACAGAAATTAAAGAAACTAGTAAGCTTACTCGTTTGATGCTGGCAAGACGGGATTTATAGATCTCATCCTGAACTAGAAGTTCTTCTTGCATTCCAGTTTCAGCATCAACTCCATCACCCTTATCTTCAGGAAATGAAAATCCATAAATCCAACGGATTGATAGATAGTGAGAGAGACAGAGTGAAACAGAGATTAACTCCAACAGAAACCATATGATTAAATTGCACTGAAAAAAAAATGATTGAATTCCTAGAATGTAGTATAAACCAAATTAACCAAAACAAGAAAGGTAATAAGAACAGTCATGCATAAGAACTTTACCACTTTGCTTTTTCTTCAATGACTTTCGCTGCCGCTCAACAGCCTCCTTAGTTTCTAATAATTGTCTCTACAAAATTAACATAAATATGTTAATAAATGCCATATGAAAATCCAAAAATGGATCTACGAGAAAAAGTACAACAATCGTAAATTGATTAAAAGACAGCATTTGAAGAGAGAAAAGAAAGTGTGATCCTCTCCCTTAGGCCTGGAAGCTCTATAGACACTATGAACTTAAACAAGGAGCATCGAAGCTCTAGTAACACTAAACCTACAATGTTCATAGCTGTGAAGGAGATAATCATTCTAAAATCTAAGATATACGCTTTATAATAGATATACACTGGTGACATAATTTCATCACATCCTTACCAAAAGGGCCAGGAATAGAAAGTTACCATCCAACCAACATTTCATATTTAAGACCAAACTAAATCAAATTACATATGTGCTTCACAGACCCTTGACACTAAATAAAAATAAAACTGGAATATAGAAATGCTGCAACAAGTACATACTGATAACTGAAAGTCATGTGCACACAACGTGAGATGAAACTGGCATCCAAACAAGACTTAGGAAAAATAATCTCTAATTAATAGTGTACTAAAACCTTAAAAACTTTAGACATCAGTAAGTAGTCTGGAATCCTAATGTGACTTTGCTAGGGAAACCTTAATACTCTCATTGTTTTTGTCAAATGACTTTTTTCTTTTCTAGTACTTTCTGGTTCAAGCATTATGAAATGCACTTCTATTTGCAAAAATGGTTCAGATTATTTGATAAGTGGCCAAAAAGAAGGCCATAAAAGTAGAAAAGCTCACTGTGGCTAAACATAATAATAAAGCTGCGTGACAAAGCAAACTAAAAGAAAAATGTCAGATAAGAACATACAAGATGAGCATTGAGATCTTTCAAGGCTTGCCCATCTTCCCATGTCTCAGATATGACAGTTCCAGCTCTGCAATGGACAGAAAATTATTTGCGAAATATTTGGAAGAAAAATGGAATGACTAAGATGAGAGGAGCCCATACAAATTTTGAAACGACAAGGAAATCCCTCAAGCACGAAGAACTCTTTCAAAGTACCAAATATAGAAACTGCAATAAAATGATGCATTACCTGATGACACCCACATTGCCAAGCCTCAAAGAGTCCTGTCGTACTTTCAACCTTGCTTCCTGCCTTTCTGCTTTCGAAACAGATATCAGCAGATCGGAGATCACTTTTGTTCTCTGCATAAGTGGAAACCAGAACTTGTATCCATCACATCAATTTTCCAGCATACAAATGATAAACACAAAATTCACGCAGAATGCAATCATTTCTCACCTGCTGCTTGTATACAGAAAAATGAATCCAACAGTTCATAATCATTACAAAAGAACTTCCGTCGAGGCTTTGTATCATGATTCATGTGTAAATGAATCTTAAAAGATGACCTATCTTGAACGAAATGCACAAGCCTCATTTTAAAATGACATTTATGTATGTGAGTATGCACACAATAGCCTGTTAATTTAAACTAAAGGCTGTTTGAGAACTGGATGACCACTCCAATGGTGCCTACAGTTAAGGCCCTCCGATAAAGGGACAGGACTAGAACCCGCCCACAAAATTTCAATTGACAAGACTGGTATAATAAAATTACCATACTAGTTTACTGAAATTATTAGTGACGAGATTAAAACAGAATAGGGCGACTTAGTATAAAAGTCTATCTGTACTTTGTTTTCCCATGAAAGTTGACAGCAAATGATAAAGAACAAAATGCAACAATGTAGCAGAAAAATACCACAAAAAATTTAAAAATAACAATATAATTGGAAATACTGATGAATATAAATTGTCCAGAAGAGCACACCTTCGGCTTCATTTTCTGTTCAAGGTCTTTTACTTCATTCAATTCCTACACATCACAGACAACAATGGAAGGCTATAAAAAATAGAAAACAGAGATGAACAGATTTGCATTCTAGACAAGAGCCTAAGAAAAAAGTGACACTACATTAGCATATTGTTCTCTTGACAATACTGGCAGTTACTTTATTACCTTCTCTGATTGACGGCAAAGATTCTGATAATCAGAGGCCTCTTGACGTGATTTTCGTAAGTCTTCCTCTAGCAAAGCAACTGTTGCACGTAACGATGCAACCTCCTCCTAGTTTGACAAAGAATGGTACAACTATGAATTATGTGCCTCTAGGGTAACGTAACCATTTTAAGTATGCTGCTTGAACTATAAAGGCCGTTCTCTTACTCAACTCTCATGCCAGCACCCACCCCCCCCCAAAAAAAAAAAAAAAACAAAAACTAAACCAAATAAGTATCGTCTAAAGAGTAACAAATAATTGCAAAATGACTTAACAAATCCCCAAATCATACATCTAGTGAAGAGCGGTTGTCATTCCAAAGCTGCTCTTTAGGCCTGCTATCACTATCCTGCAAGTATGAACGTGTGAGAGCAGTTTGTGCTCATGAATATTTCTGTTCTACATACACCAACAAGAATAAACCCCAGAGAAAAAAGAAGCACAGGACAGACAAGTTTTCCATTGCAATTGGCTCATTACTCCAACTAAATTAAGCTGAATTTGAATGTAGACGCTAAAAATCTTAGTCTCTCCCATATAAACTCTAAATCTGACTGTAGTCTACTTGAAAGAGGAACCGGATTAAACACGCATGGAATAGGATGCAGGGATGGCTCAAAATGGGAAATCATAAATTTTATTGGAAGATTATATATATGGTTTTTATAGTTTCTGGTGAGCATTTTTTCACGCCAATGGAAACATGATTTGCCGTCACACCACAATATCACCATATATTGCCTTTCGACATCATTTGCAGATTCTTTCTGCCACTTCTTTACTAGTACAATTTTAATCACCTAGTTTAGCAAAACAGAAGACATGTAAGGTACACGTGATACAATGGGCAAATTGCCAAACTCACAAACATTCTCTACACCCCAGGTTTGCGAAATATTTAAATGCCTTCATTTTTCAACTTCATAAAATATTTTGAACAATATTAACTAAAACTTAAAACAAAAGCATACACAGGGCCATGTGTGTAAACCAAGTGATAAACTGTGGCAGTCAATGTCACCTCATTACCAGGTGACATCTATGCATTGGCATTTCGTAGTCAATATTTCAATTAGAAAAATAGACAGATGTCAAGCAGAGATGCAGGTCCTGATAAAACTCCATTCATGGCTAACAGATACTCAATCAATTATCTAAGAAATATGATCTTAAAGAGAACATTTAAACAATGGCAAAGAAAATATAGCGAGAATTTTTTATACAGAGAACAACAGATACAGCTGACCCAGTCCATTAAAAGAAAAAACACGTCCTGATAGCAGAATACAGTACATAATTTGTAACCATAACAAATAAAATATGAGCATAAGAGATAACAGCCTGATGATGGCAGAATATAATGATGCATAGAAGATAACTACTACCTTAAAAGAATAAGGATTAAACTGAAACAGCTCATGCGTACGAGCATACCTTATTGTATGGGTTCTCAGACTGACCATTAAGGGGTGAAACTGTCGAAGGAGTAACTAATAATTTTGTCTGATCACTGACTCTTGAACCGCGAACCCTACTTGAAACTGAATGCCCCCTACCACGACCATGCTTTTTCTTGTTTAAATCAGAAGTTGCTGTGGCATTGGTGGTTTCTACAACCATCTGCCTCCCATCAACCACTGCCTGCATGTGATTTTTTATTTCAGATTAATTTTTCAAGATTTATATATAATCTATTTTATAAGTGGAAGTAAGGAAGAAGAAGAATTTCCTGCATGTAAAAAAATAAGTAAACTAATGAACACCATGATCCCAACTTTTCATCTAAACTATACTTTGATGAGTTTTCCAAAACCGTACTTCCTCAAACATGCTAGAACTGATTTAGATTATATCATTTGAAGCCAAGAAACTAGTCGTGTGTATGATCAATTAAAATCAGTGGCTACGGTATTATCCTAAAGCTTCCAACCAAATTTAACTTGAAAAAGAGCCTACCTCAACATGTTCAAGAACGGTTGAATTACCATCTTCTTGAAGTTTCTGGCGCTTCTGAGTGTTGGCTTGTATCAGAAACTCCTCTCCATTCTGTCATAAGAATATGAACTTGAACATAAATCATAGCAACTCGAGAAGATCCAAGAATCTGATAGTTTAATGAGATTTATGTATTTAACGCTGTTAAACATGTCTAAATTCTAAATCAAAATATAATAATATGTAACTGATTGTTTTCAAAGGATAAGATAGCTTCTTTTGGTATTTTCTTGTTTTGTACGTGGATTTCTTGTTCACTGCTGGATATTAGTATTATCTCAACTTTATAAACAATTTCGTTTCTTACAAACAGAAAAGCCTTTGGAAAAAACAACTCCAAAAACTGGTGACAGAGGCATGCAATCCGAACTTGGTAAGCAAATCATAATCGTGAATGGAAATTTCACAAATGTAAAGGGTTATATAAATGGTATGAAGAAAAGAAAATTCCCTATTCCAGTTGCACAATCTAGTCCATCAGTTCGCTATTATAATCAAAATATTGTTTTGATTCCTCTCCAAAAATCCGGTCTCATTAATTTGGCATTTAATTATCAAGTATGTAATGCCACAAGCAATTTCGATTTTTTTTATCACCTAGCAGACCTTTAATCCAATATGTAATTGTATTGTTTGATTTTAGTGAATCACTCAAGTAAGGTAGATCAAGACGGTTTTGAATACATTCAACTTAGTATTAGCTTATAACAGCACAACGACAACAATTTCATTGATTAATTAGTATTTAATGGACATAACAACTGTAAATAAACATACCCACAATCGATCAATTCGCTAAACTACTTGCCAATTACCATCAGCATCAATCCCAACTAGTTAAAGTTGAAAGCACCCAACCAACTCAATGAATTACAAGCAATGGGTACAGAGTTGAGAGAGAAAAGGACTTACATCATCGTCGGAATCACTCGAAGTTGATGGCTCGGCCAAGTCAGCCGTGGTGAATCTCGGAGCGGAGGAGAGGGAGGACCAAGCGGACTGCGGCAGTTGCTGTTGCTGGAGAGCAGGAGGGGCGGCGGAGGCGGAGGAGGCCTTGCCGACCATTCGGGCTTCGAGCTTGGCAATCTTGGTGGGCAGAGAGTGGTCCGACTGGTTGGAGGAGTTGGAGGAGAAATGAATGAGCATGTCATCCGACATTGCTAATATTAAACCAATCACGAGAGTCAACAGTTAGGGGTAAAAAATAAAAATAAAAATTCAAAATTTTCAGATCATTTGGACGAAAGGGGGTTTTGATGTTGGAGAGAGAGAGAGAGAGAGAATTAGGGTTTTGAAATTGGGAGGAGTGGAGGAGGGAAGGGGAAATTGGGAATTGCGGAAGAAGCTTTGGTCTGGTGTGGTGCAAGCAAAAGCTAGGAAATTGGGGGAATAAGAAACGAATGACTTGTCTGGGACTCTTTTCGCATTTGGTTGCGGTGGGAGAGGTGTGAAGTTTTGGGCGCGATGCCCGTGCCCTTGCAATTCATTGCTTTTGGTTCTAACTTTTTGGAAATTGGAATCCAATGTTTTAACTTTAGGTTATTTGCGGTAATACCCCTTAAACTCAACTCGAGACTCATTTACCAAGGGGTAGGCCGCCCACATAGCGGGTCTTTGTGGCTCGAATGGTTGTTAAGAGAAACCGTTCTATTTTCTCTAAATTACTCTCTATTCTCTTTAGAGTGTATTTGTTGCACCTCATTATCTCAGATTTGACTAAATTCAGAGACTAAGAGCATCTCCAATGGAAGTCCTTATTTAGGGACTCCCACCACTACTTTTGAGTACTCATTCAAAGGGATTTTTTGTGTCCTTGAATGAACATTGTCTAAGAGCAAGTCCACCTCTAAGAACTTGCGCCAGCACCCAGCGCATTTATCCACTCAAGTGAACAGTAATAAACTGGAGTGAACAGTAATAGGCTATGGCATCTCCATCCCTAAAAAAATGCGCTGGCACCTAGCGCATTTATTTGGTGTGTTTTTTTTTTTTAAGTTTATTTCGGATAAGATTTTTAACCAATTTTAGATAAAATTTCAAATAAACTTAAAAAAAAATGCACACTAAAATAAAATTACATTCTCATCAAATAAACTTATAGAAAAAATACACACTAAAAAATAACTTTAATGTGTAAGGTGGAAGATGAGGGTTAGGTATTTATAGAAAAAAAAATAACTTTTTAAAAATTTTACTGTATTTTTTATATATTTTTAATTAATTTTAATGTAGTTAATTAATCTGGACCGTTGGATTTGAAAAATATTCAAATCCAAGAGCCCAGGATCAGCCACATGGCCATGCGCCAGTAAATGGTCTGGCTTCTTGGTCAGCCAGAGACCAGCATGGACTGGGTGCCAGACTGTTGCGCGGGCTGGAGGACATGGACAGGGTGCTGGGCTGCTATTTGGACTGAGTGCTAGGCAAAGTCCACTCCTGTGGACTTGCTCTAATGGTATAATCCTTATAGTAGAATCCTTAAATTTAAAGTTTTTATGATTATACGTGATAATTTGATTAGGTCCACATTTTTTGCTTATGTTAACAAATTTTTAATTAATTAAAAGCATTAGAAGCAAAATCTTCAATCAGACTGTAGGTTCCGTTTTCCACTGAAGGTGCATATTTTTTTTGTTTATGTTAACTATTTTTTTAATTAATTAAAAGCATTAAAAACTACAATCAAGATTGTGGATCCCGTTTTCTACTCAAGGTTGTCCTTGTACAATGAGATTATGTAGACCTGGCATTTGTGTCGTGTTTTTCATGTTTGTGTCGTTTTTGTGTCATACCCGATATCTTAACGGGTCGTGTCGTGTAACATTCATTAAAATAAACGGGTAAAATGACCCGACCCGAAATCGACCCAATAATATTAACAGGTAATATGACCCGACCCGTTACCCATTAAGGAAAATATATTTTAAACCAATAAATAATCAAATGAAAAACATAATACTAAATAAGTATATACATACCATATTGTCACATCCAAAACATAAAAACACATTTTTCTTTTAAGTATATTTTAATTTACCTAAAGTCTTTAATGAGTTTTTAATTAATGTAGAAGTGTAAAAAAATATATAAACGTTCGTAATGACAAGCTTTACAACTTTCATGAAGAGCTTAACTTCGAAATTCACCACTATAATCATATAAATCATAGATCAAAATTTAACCGTTAATTGTTGTTTACATTTACGCTTCATTGTTCTCATCAAATTTTGTTTTTTCAAACTTTTTTTTTTAAACTTGATCTATTATAGGATGCAGGAAAATGAACGGTTTGGATCGTTAATATTATATTTAGAGTTTTACGGTTAGTGAAAATATTGCTTGATGTTTATAAAATTTCTACAAACTATATGACATCGACTCATATTTCAGTTAACCGTAAATATCGAAACGTGATATCAAAGATCTGAACCGTTCATCTTCTTACATCTGCCAGATGATCATGTTTTCAAAAAAGAAAATTAAAAAAATGAAATTCAGTAAGAAGAATAAAGCATAAATGGCAATCGATGGTTAAATATAAATTTAAGGTTTATGAATTATAGTGTTGGATTTCGAAGCTGACCCCTTCATGAAAGTTGTAAAGTTTGTCACTATGAGTGATTGTATATTTTTTTACAATTTGTACACTTCTAAAATAATTATTATTAATTTTATTAATTTTTCCCTCAAATAAAAAACATTATTCATGAAGGTTTGGAGGATTTTAAAAATCTAAACGATAATGTAAGTGTAACCATTATCTACTCGTAGAGGAATAATGATGAATCAATAGTGTTTATATATTCTTTCACATTTTTCATACTTGTATGTATGTCTTCTTAGTTCTTGCCTATACAAATACTATATTAGTTTATTTTAATTTTGGACAACAACATGTTAAGTAAAATTTATCCTAGTAATGATAATATGGAACTCTCATAATAAAAATAAATAATGACTAAAACTTTTTTTTTTAACTTATATAGAATAATAATACAAAACTATATATTTAATATAGAATATATTGTATATATTAATATGGCTATTGTATTTTATAATAAATCTTTTAGTAATTAAACTTTAAAATTATCAAAATAAATTTTTTCTTAACGGGTCAAAGGGTTACCCACGTGTTACTCGCGTGTATACCCGTTATTAACGGGTCACCCGATAAATTATCGTGTTGACCTGAAACCCGTTATTTTCGTGTCATTTTCATGTTGTGTCACCGTGTCGTGTCAGAAACTGTTGGGTCTAAGATTATGCATCCGGTGAGTCCCTATACTTTAGGGACTCATTTTTCGATCAATTGGAAACTCATTTTGTCTGTATATTTGTTTTATACCTATTTAATATGGTGGTTGTCCCTATTTAGAGATTTCACTAGAAATGCTCTTATTATTGGTTTTTTTTTTTTTTAACAAATGATATTTTCTACTCTAAAAGGGAGGAGGTGGGGTTAGCCAAACAATGGGCTAGCAATAATATGGTTCAACTTCACATTTGGTGAGAATCAAACCTAAGATCTCTCACTTACAAATGAAAAGGAATATCACTAGACCGTTGTATTAAGTGGCGATGTGCTCTTATTAAGTGCAAAGAAAGGTTGATATTCTAAAATACTTTTTCGTTCTTTCGTTCTTTGTTGCTTTGTACAAACATTAGGAATGATCTAAAAAGGTCACTGGCACATGCTTACGTCCATTTAGTGATTCAATCGTAAATATAGATATTGAAGAAGCTTTCTAACCAAAATCATTTCGGTTTCTTTTCTCATATTTTAAGTTTTGAACGAAGTAATGTTTGTGTATTGCCTAATCTTTTGTGATAAGATTCAGTTTCATACTTGGGTGGTACGGGAAAAATTAAGCCATGACAATAAGGATAATGGTACTTAATGTCTATCTATGCAGAGACGAAACCAGAGATTTGTATGAATGAGGGCATCTTCAAACAATAGTCACAATTAAAAAGCTAAAATATTTACTGAACTAAACACTTATAGATTGATCCATAAAGTTTTTTCATACAAAACACTTAGAATTATTGTTGGCAAAATCAGTCATATTGACACCAATTAACATATAGGGTTTAATTGTATTTTAATTATGGTTGGTCATTGGGATGCAAAACTATACAATTTTTATGGGGAACAAAAAAATTGAACGGGAGCATCCACCCCTCTAGGCCTATAGTGGCTTCGTCCGTGTATCTATGCACATTAATTTGGTTTAAATTACTATAATTATTTTATCAAACGTCAGTGTTTCAGTTCATGCGTATAAAATTTATAGACGAATGTGCATTAGTACGCTTTGGAATGGATAAATATGGATTAATTAGGTTCATTCAGATTAAGTTGATACGTATACATATTGCTCTTAAAAGGAATCTTTTAGGAAACATGTTGCAAGCTTTTCTATTCATTATTGATCTAGTAAATTAGTGGGAGCATTAATTTGAATTCAGTTTATCTTTCGAACATTATGTGTAGACATCGAAATTTCAGTGAAATAAATGTTGATCAATAATTAGAATTTTAACATTCACGTGTCACATAAATTTTACACATAGCATGTGACTCAACAAAAATTCGAGAATCATCAGAAAAGTCATCAAACATGACACGTGTCAATGCTTGGCAGAAATGATTTATTTCATCTGATTATTTAAACCCAAAAATCAAGTTTTGGAATTCTATAAATAGGAAGCCAATGCATTCATTTGAGGGGAGACCAATTCATAACCAATTCACCTCACACCAAAACCTTGAAGCTTTGAAACTCCAAAGCTCCCAAGCAAATCCCGAAGAATCAAGAAAGCTATCTTCGTTCTTCATCAAATCCTCCTTCAAGACCAAGCCCCAACGGCCCTTGAAGAACTTCCTTATTCAAGATCAAGCCCCAACGACCTTTGAAGAACTTCCACTAATTCAAGATTAAGCCTCGATGGCCCCTTGAAGAAAGTGTTCATCATTCATTCGTTCATCCCTAGATCAAGCCTCGACGGCCCTTTGGATCAACGACGTCAACAAAGCCGCACAACTGTTTATCCTAAGATCAAGCCCCAACGGCCCTTGGATCAACAGCCCAACCCACAAATCTACACATTACAAAGATCGAATCAGAGGCTAAATTTGTAAAAGAGATTGTAACCCCTAAATCATCAATACAAATATTATTTTGTACACGTATTCTTGTCTCGTTCATCGCAGGAATTTCCGTGTTTACAAATTTGGCACGCCCAGTGGGACCTCTCTGCCTCTCATCTTTATCTCCAAATCCACAAAAAACACACATGGCATCAAGGAATGCTCAAGCTGTTTCCGCAACCAACGGGAAGAACAAGGGCATCCTCGCCGCAGGCGGTGTCACTTCGGGCATCATAACTCGAAGCAAGGCAAGAGCTCTTTCTGCCTCCTTTTCCACCCCTGCACCAACTCTGCCGAAGGAATAAGAGCACCCGAGGCACGA